GGATTCCTGAAGCATGCTGCAACTGCTACAGCAAGCAAGCAATCCTTGTAATTAAATGTTGAGCAGTGAGCTCATTGGCTGCTGCTACAAAAATAACCAATCAGCTGTGCCATGTTATAACCTATCGACCTGCGCCATCTAGAGTTTCATGACAGAACTTTGCATTTAATTTATGGAATGACTAAAAAATTATTTTTTTGCAGCGTAAAACACCAAATCTTACCAAATTTTTCTGAGTTTTATGCTTAAAACAAAATGAAAAAGTCTTCAGTGGGATAAGAAAAATAAAGACACAATTTTGCTTGTAAATTTCCTTGTTTCTAAATGAAGGTGCACAACCGTGCAAATTTGGATCAAAGTGGTAAATTTTCTTTCTCCGTCCATATCTTCATAAATACCAAATGCACTTGGATGTGTCATGAGAATTTATCTGGCGACCTTGCTATTGCCATGTGTGAGGTGGTAATATAGTGTCAGTGACCTGTCCTTTAGCTGTGATATGAAGATGTTTAAACAACTAATATCTAATAATGAGACACAGAGAATTAGATTTTATTGATTACTAGGAAAAATCAATGCAACCCTATAAAATTAGCATTTTCTATTAACAGTTGCTGCACTGTTATTTGGGCAGAACTGTTGTGATTCATATTTTATAATCATTTAAGTGAGCGAAGCAGTCTACTTTTCAGAGCTTTTCACACTTGAAATTGTTAACCAAAAGTCATTGTTAACCGTGGACTGTTTTGTTGTATCTTTCACACTGTTATACTGTACGTTATCAAGGTAGTCACTCTAGAGAAAATGCATGCATAACTGTATTGAATGTGCTGTACTTCAAATCTTTAAAGAATATATTTTTTAAAAACATATTTAAATTATATTTTTTAACACAAGTATACTGTTAAAAATGCACTTTATAATAATGTTGAATTAAAAGTTTTACTCTAAATCATGTAATAAGAATGTAATAATTATTTGTGATTGTGCATTGTTCAATATTACATTTAAAGCTAATATATTTAAATGTACTAAATTTCAGCTTCATAATTAATCATTTGTAATTACAAATTTAAACATACAAGTTTCAATAGAAATGTCATTAAGGCATATTTTAGTTTGCTATAAATGCTGTCAGTGCATTCGGCAGAACACTTTAACCATATTTTAATATAAAATGTAATATGAAACCATATTTTACATGAAATTAAAAGTAAAAAAACATTACATTTAATTCACAGTAAAGTATATTCTTTTAAAGTATGTTATTTCCATTACAGGATTTCATGCTGTATATTTGCAAACCTGGGTTAATCTTCTTATTTACATATTTATGAGGATATGATTGGACAAGAACTGTATGCAACAACCTTTCAACTCTTTGTCCATCAGTGGAAATTCCATCATGTAGAGCTGCTCTAGTTGTCTGATGTGCTTTTTCATAAGGGGTCAAAAATGGAGTTGTACCTGGGGTACCAATTAACGCTAGTTTCCAGATGGTTGCACAGCTTTGAACAGTGTTACACAGCATGAGAAGATGATACAGATAAAGCATCAGAGTAAAGGCATTATATAAAAGACTGATTAGGTAGCCTGATAGATCGTTGTAAAAAAACGTATGTAATGTAAAAAAAAATATATATAAAAAAATATATATATATATAAAGCAGCACACGGCAGATAGAGTGCAAACCAGTGAAGTAAACAACAGTGCAGATATAATGATTTGTAGTGCAAAAAGAGCTTATTTAGACTGATTAAAGTGACTGTGTGTGTGTATTTGGGAGGGGGGAGCATGTCAGCTGATCGAGATGAATAGCGCAGTCCGGAACGCTGTTAGATGCATATTTGATGTTAGATGCACACTGCTGTGCAAATGTTTGTGGTCAGTAAGATATATATTTAGAATTTTAGTCCACAAGGATGCATTAAATTGATCAAAGGTGACAAAAGACATTACTATTGTTTTTTTTTAACTATAATGGTACTATTTAACTTTTAAGACTTCTTAAAAAAATGTCATGGTTTACACAAAAATACAACTGTTTTCAACACTGATAATAATAATAAGAAATGTTTCTTGAGCACCAAATCAGCATATTAGAATGGTTTCTGAAGGATCAAGTGACACTGATGGAAAAAAAGTGTTTTTTTTCCAACAAAAAAATGACCAGTTATGAGTTATGGAGGCCATCTGCAAATTGCTCTTTGCTAGGGCTGCAGAGATGTGTAATCTGAATGTAAGGAGATGACCTGAACCTCTGGCCAACAGAAAATAATGATGTACACGTCCCATGAATCATTCTAGTCTGTTTCTAACAGAAGCAATTATATTTGGAAAGATGGATGTCTTCAGCCCACAATGTCTGTTTGCAGTTTCTGCAATGCATGAGGATTCAGAAAATAGCATTCATAATGCTGCTCTGCATTATGATATAATAGGCTAGAAATGAACAGGTGCTCCTAAACACTGCTTGCCAATATTTTATTAAAGTTACAATCTCTGTAAAAATAATTATAGAACATTAATTGCAATCAAATAATGAGGCTTTTATAAGAATTAACAGTTCATACATGGCCATTTTTATGCCAAATATTTTGATAGCCTTTACAAATTAATGCAGTAAAATTGTAACCTTTTCATGGTAAGCTGATTTGCAATTAATACAGATAAGTTCATTTTATTGTGTATATTGTTTATAAATGTTTTTTCGTCTACGTGTGTGTTGTTGAACCAGTAAAGGGTTGAATAGCTACAGTAGTATCTTTCTAACACAGGCTTTTCCATCCATTAATCCATGCGTCCATCCATCCAACCATACATCCATTCATCCTCATGGATGTTCGTTTATTATTAAAATTGGTTCTACTGTCTCCCCATCCCAGGTGTCACTCAGCAGGATGGATGTTGCCATTCAATAATACCTGCGTGCGCACAGACACTCACTCACACACAGCGTATGTCAGCCTCTCTTGAGACTGATATTCCCATTATGAGGATGGGATGACCATCTGTAGCCCACACACGTATATACAGTACCTACACAATCCCACATACAGCCTGGCCCACAGCACACCTGATTCCCTACAGACCAATAAAGTAATTTAGCCATTGGTAGATACAGTGTGTTATGACAGTGTTTCCCAACCGGGGTGCCGTCTGTCGAGAGCAGGGGTGCCGTGTAAAAAATCCTTTTTTAATATTTTTAAATTGCTAAAATGTTCAAAAGAGCATCTATATAATATCTATTTCTGATGTCGCCAATAAATTAGAGATGCACCGAAATTTCGGTTTAAAATTCGGTTCGAAAATTAGTTCACCGCTCAGGTTTCACTTTCACGTGGTGTGACCTGCGTTATGAGACAAAGTGCTGGAGATGTACCTGTACTTTACCTATGATCCCACAGTGTGTGTGTGTGTGTGTGTGTGTGTGTGTGTGTGTGTATATCACAGAGGGGTTTAATTAGGGAATGACATGGCGAGTGGATCCTCATCAGTCTTGTTCATATGTAACGCTGAGGTCTGAACAACTCCACTGACATGACAACAAACCACGGGTCACTGCTTCAGCTGCACTTACAGTGAATAGAGAGAGAAATTTTGTGTTTTAACTGAATCTCATCATCACACTTAAACCTACTATTTAAAGGTGAAGTAGTGTCGTTTCTGATACAGTAGCTTGCTATTTATTTGCACCAGATTGTTACTGAATGTATTTTAAATGGTAAATATGTAATATAATATATAAATATAATAAATGAATAACCAGACCAAATGGTTTCAACACCGAATTATTACAAAAGTATTTAAATGGTAAATATTTACTATAATATAAATATAATATGATAAATAAATAACCAAACCAAATCATATGTGTGTATGCAACACAAAATTGCATTATACAAACATTTAAATGGTTAATATTTGATATAATACATTGTTTTAAGTATTAATTATTATAAGTATAGCCAGACCAAATCAAAATATATCATATTTATTACTTTAAATATTTACCATTTAGATCATTTTGATTTGGCCTGGTTATACTTTTAATAATTATTAGAAAGAAAATAATTAGAACGTTATTTATTTTGGTTATTCATTTAATAATAATTTGAAAGAATATTATTTAAAGTATAACCAGACATTATTTATAAATCAGACCAAATTCTATTTTGAAATTATAAATATTTAATCTAATATTTAAATATAAAATAATAAATGAATAATCACCAGACCAAATCATATGTATGTATGTAGCACCAAATTGTTTTACACGAATATTTAAAACATTCAATATAATATATCCTTTTAATAAATAAAAGAAGACTAAATCATATTATTAATTTATGTAACATCAGATTGTTACAAAAATATTTAGATGGTAAAATTTTGCATTGAAAAAAGTAGATTTTTGTAGAAGGAAAATTGGAAATGGCAAAAATAATTTTATTTATATATATATATATATATAATAAAGTATATATATCCATTTGGCTGTTTGACTTTTTTGCCAGTTACTTACTAATTTCATTTTTTTCTCTCTCCACCATTTCTTGTTTGTTTATTTATTTATTTATTATAATGTAAATGGTTTTGGAGCTTTTATATACACATACTGTATGAACATGATTTTTACTTTGAATGTGTGCATTTTTCATGACTATATACATGTGTCCATTAGAACTGTGTGTGCATTTGTTTTTCTTTTAGTGGATTTGTATTTATAGTGACTTTTAGACATGCATTTCGCTGGTGGCAGTGCAATATTGTGCTATGGAGAACGTTGCTATTTATAGGTAGATGATGTATATGGGTGCCCACTGGCTCTGAGAATGTGCTACTATTTCCTACACAGGCACGAGCTCTCGTACACATGCATACATACACAGATTGTGTGTTATGCCGCATCAGGCGGTTGCATTAGGCCACATCTACTCTAACAGCAAATTGAATCCATCTATCCATCTAACAGTATTTATTTTATTTTCTCCCTCAGGAGACTGAGATCAGCAGGAAGAGAAAGGAGTGTGAAGTCCTTGAGGAGGAGGTGAAGAAAAAGAGCCAGTCATGTCAAACTCTGGTGAGAGCCTTTACAAGTTCACATCTTACGAGAGGGTCTCACATGCTGGGTGTCATATCAACACTCTTCTGAGATATTTAGTGGTTAGTCTTCCACCATACGGCGCTTTTGTAGTCGTGATTCATACAAGGCCATAGCTAATGGGCTCAAACGATTTTAGGGTTAAAATCATTTTAATGATTAAAACCTTGCACTTGGAATACTGTGGCCACATGAGCACATGTATGTGTGTAAGGTAAAATTAAGAAACGATAGTAATTATATGAGAGCTAGACTACATGCTTTTTGGTTTTATTTTATTTTATTTTTATTTTATTTTATTTATTTTTAATATCAAAACGTGGTACAAAAATATAAAAAATATAAATATTTAATATAATATTTAAGTATAATAAATAAAATAATAACCAGACTAAATAGATTTATTTGTTTATTTACTTAATTACTTTCTTAACATCAAAGTGTGGTACAAAAAAAATGTAAATGTTAAATATTTAATGTGATATTTAATTATAATAAATAAAAGAATAGCAAGGCCTTATTTATTTATTATAATAAATAAAATACTAGCCAGACCAAATAGATTTATATATTTTTATGTATTTATTTAATTACTGAAATTAATTAATTTACAAAAATATTTTAATGATATATAATATATATTTATAATATAATATAAAAAATAAATAACAGGCCAAATAGATTTATTTATTTATTTACTTAATACCAATTTGTGTTACTAAAATATTTAAATGGTAAATATTTAATGCAATATATAAATATAATAAATAAAAGTCGAACCAGACCATATAGACTGATGTATTTAATTATTTATTTTCACAAACTTTTGTGTTAGAATTTTTTTTAAATGGTTAATATTTAATATAATATATAAATATAATAACCAGACCAAATAGGTTTATTTATTTATTTGCTGTTCTTTAAGTTGCCTGTTGGTTCAACAAGATTCTTTCTTGTCACTAATGTTTTGTTTTATCATTACTTGTTTTGTTTTCATCAAAAATGGAAGCTTTTTATAGTTTACATTACAGCTTATAGTTTACATTTATTTATTGATTTATTTTCTTAAATGACAAAATGGCTCCTTTAACTGTGACCAGAGCCACATGTATGATGCATTGCTCAAATTCACAACATTTGGTACTGTAGGTGGTGCAGGATTGTACAAGGGATCAAACAACCTTGTGGGAAGTGGCCCACTTCTGCCAGCCCACCCCTGAGAGCTGTGTGCTTTAGTATAATAATTAGACTGGATTTTGATTGGCACGATACATTTTGATCCAGGGTGAACGTTTTGGGGACAAAACAGTTGCTGATCAAGGTGTTTGCCTGACCGAAGCACATGAATGTTGGAAATGCTTTAGTTTCACACACATACATACCCAACACTCTCAAGGGCGTTTGCTCTCTTTCCCACTCTCTCTCGGTCTTTCTCGCTGTTCCCACATAGCAGACATGGAGAGCTGACTCCAAGGTCCACTGTCAGGGGAAACAAAGCGAGCAGAAGGACAAAAAAGCTAATGCAAGAGAGAGTGCGAGGAAGATGAGGGAGAGTGAGAGAGATAAAGAGTGCGTGTATGAACAGAGACTAATCGGCCCTGACTGCCAGGGAAGCTCTTTTAAACAGCCTCTCTCTTCTTCTGTATTCCTCTCACCTCAGCTTTCGGGAAAGACTTTTCATCCATTACACATGAGAGAAGCTTTGCCGGGGCTTTTTAGAGCTGAGGAAGACCTTTTAAGTGGGTCATGCCCCGAGTTTCACATTCGATTCCTGGTTTTTGGTCTTTTATGGAATTAATTGAATATGAGTTTTTGTATCATATGCTGTGAATTCAAGGGGACAAGCTGTTTAAGTATTAATGCTCTCAATGCTGATGTTGTATAGATACTCGGATAAAAATATTGATCCTAACTGTTTTAGATAATACTGTTATTATATTTATATTTTAAATAATACATGCATATTTATATTTAATGTATATCCAGGCAGTTGTTATCGTTTAATAAACACTGACAGGGTAATTAGGAAATCTTGTCTCACCTTAAAGGGACACATTATCACTTGCATAAAATATAAACATGTAAATATATTTTAGAGAGCAATGTAATAATATAGTTTATTTATTTGCCATTATTTAGTATTATAAGCTTTGAGGTGGAAAAAAAGTCTGATAATTTACACTTTAGTTAATTGTAATATATTATTGTAAAATTTTCAAAATTACCTATTTAATCCTCATTACAAAAAAAACCCTCTAACCATAGCAATAGAACAATATACATGTAGTCGGTTAGATTTTATTGCTTTTGAGATTTTTTTAAAAGTCTCTTATGCTTACCAAGGCTTCATGTAATTGATCAAAAATATAGTGAATCAGGAACATTGTGAAATATGATTTCAAATAATTTTAAATGGTTTTAAATGCTGTTTTCTATTTAAATATATTTTAAAATATGTCAAATGTATTCCTGTCATGAATACGAAAAGCTGAATATGAAAAAAAACATGAAAAGCTGAATGTTCAACAATAAGTACTAGTCCTCAGTGTCATGATGCTTCAGAAATCATTCTAATATTTGCTGCCAAAGAAACATTTCTTATTATTATCATCAATGTTGAAAAAAAGGTGTGCTGCTTAGTGCTTAATATTTTTTGTGGAAATTGTTTTTTTCAGGACTCATTGAGTAATAGAAAGTTCAAAAGGACAGCATGTATTAGTCAATATTTATATGAAATAGAAATCTTTTGTAACAAAATGAAAGTGTTTACTGTCACTTTTGATCAATTTAGTCATCCTTGCTGAATAGAAGTGTTAATTTGGAAATGTGAAAATGTGAAATGATTTCTTTTTGGGTGGTTTATAATGATTTTAATGTACTTTTTGAAAACAAAATAAGTCATCCACATTTAAATAGCTAGGTAAAAATGCACATGTGTCTCAGTAGGACACGCGTCTCTCAGTGTGTGAGGATCAGCAGTATAACTGTTTCTCTCCACAGGGGCTCTCTATACCACAGGAGGCTCCATTTTCACAGTAACGACTGCAAAAATACACGGAGCTTAGTCTCCTGACAGGTCTATACACACACAAACATTGGCAAAGCCTGATAGAAGTCTTTTTTCCTTCTTTATTAAACATTGTTTGTTGTGGATTGGCAGAACATTCATTCAAACTCCTATATCTGCCAGCCCACATCCCCTAATGAGTGAACTACACCTGAAACATCAGCATTTTTCACTCCGTTCCAGATGGAAGATCCTGAGATGTTATGGAACACAAACAGTTCAGTGTTTTCCTCTTTCTCTGAGCACTAAAGAGTAAAGCAGTCAGTTTTTGTGTGACACAACTGTGTTGTAAATATAGGACAGTAAAAAAGGTTTTACATTTACATGAAATAATGTTAGCATACAAAATTGCAAATTTTTTTTTTTACCTTTATAATAAATTATATAAATATATACATATATAATTAAATAAAGGGGTCATATGAAAAAATTGAAATATAATTAAATAAAGGGGTCATATGATGCGATTTGAAGTTTTCCTTTCCTTTGGAGTGTTACAAGCTGTTCATACGGCGGGCTTGAGAATGGCGCGGCCGGCGGATTCGACGAAGGAGCGGCCGGAGGGCTTGCGGCAACCACATGTGACGACCCCGGGCTGGACTCCACTTCGTCCACGGTGAAAGCCGATCCGGCGATCCACAGCGTGAAGTTGGAGCATTTCCTCAGCGACCAGCACAGATCAGCTCCAGGCATGACGAAGCAGATATCGTCCTCTTTTGGAAGACCAAACAAAGTAGTTTCGCTTTCACAACGAAACACAGTGCCTTCACGACATGGCAGCAGCAACAATACTACAGCGAGAATAAAAGTTACGCCTTCTTTCTTTGCGTGAACATTTGGGCGGCGTTATGCAAATCTTCCCACACAGTGACGTAATCTAGTAATTTATTTGCAACGCTGCTTTTATTTTGCGTTTCATTCAAGTTTGAGCTTGCAATACGTTTTTCCCTTTGCGCTTCAGGTTTCTACGCGTCTCGCTTTGTGGCACTGTTTTGACATGGGGGTGGAGTCAAGGGACGGGGGCGTGTACAACAGGCCTGGGCTCTTGTAGGCCTATTTTATTTTATGTACTTTATTTAACATTTATTCATAATAAACTTTATTCGAATGTTGTCTACATCGCGTGCAATACAGTCCCGTAGCCTAGGACTATGGTTAACACTTAAACCACCAGAGGTCGCTGTATACCTAAAAGCGCCAGTGGGTAAAATTTACCCATGCACATGACTACTGTTTTGATATGGCTAAAAAACTTATTATGTCACCGTATTATGCCACTGTCTTCACAATGTCTAGAGTCATAAAATGGTTATTTTTAAGTTCACGGCTATTTTTAAGCAGGTTACACTAATCACTTTTCTTAATGGTGAATATAAACCAGCCTGCAATGACAACGAGAATTACAAGGAAATAAATACATATTTGGGTGGTGTAATATTATAATAAAATGTTTTAAGATAACCCATGTTTTTTAAATTACTAAAATACCCTAAATAGACTATAATAAGCCATAATAATTCACCACACTGACCACACTGCCTAGTATGTATGATACAACGACAAATTCAATCGCAGTGTCAGTTTCACCTAATCAATTATATCAATTATTAGTTATATAATTTATAATTTGAATAAGAGAACAACACCAATAAACTTGGGGTAATCATAAAAATTGTTTTATTCAT